AGAGAGAGAGAGAGAGAGAGAGAGAGAGAGAGAGAGAGAGAGAGAGAGAGAGAGAGAGAGAGAGAGGACAGATAGACACAGACAAAGACTAGACCTTGGGTTGGGAAGAGAGAGAAAACAGAGCGCAATAGAGAGAAACAGAGGCACAAACAGTGCAAAAAGAAAGGAAAAAAAGAAAAGTCGTCTATACAATTGATGTTCATTGTGTCTATGACAATCGATTCTCTGATATCCATGTGTTGTTCATGATTTTTGTCAACAAAAAAAAGATCTGAAACCCGTTGTGTCTGTGGTGTTCTTTTCTGTGCGACACTATGCCCTCCCTCCTGCGCAGTACTTGATGTCCAGGTTCTGTCCTTGCAACTCGTTCCCCCCGCAGCATGCCTTTTAAAGCTTGTTTTCACTAAAAACAGGCCTGCTGCGTTTAATGAATTACTGTGCGAGCAGGCGCTTAGCAAGGCTGCCCAGAGTCTGCAGCGAGTTGTTGGCAGCAGCGCCTTCGAAAGGATATTCTTGTACACTTTGCAAAGCAAGGAGCTTTGCAAGAATGATTGCCTTGGAGCTGGTGTCGGACGCAGAGTTTGCGGCGCTGAATGCGGCGGTCACAGCCGCGGAGGAAAAGTTTGCTGCTTTGAAAAAGCTGCCACGTCACAGTGGTGACTTGACAACTAGCAGTCGGGCGCGATCGGATGCCTCGCCGACGGTCGGCGCGGGCGGAGCCGCCGAGGGTGTGAGTGTCCTGCCGGTTGCAGGCAGCAGCTCGGCAGGAACGCGGGATATAGAGGATTTCACTCCACGTGGCGTCGTCCAGCGACGCCCTGCTACGGCTCATGGTTGTGTCGCAAGGCAGGGTGGCTATGGATCGGGTGGCGGCTTCGGATGCACACAAGGAAACAATGGGGTTGGTGCTGGAAGAAGACAACGTTGGGGGCAGCGGCAGGAGGAGGGGGAGGAGAAGGGGGTGCTGCGGTTGGTGGCGAGTCGGGGGGCTCTGGCCAGGTGCGGGGCCAGCTCCTCGTCCTTTCATCACGATGTAGCGAAACTTGACCACGAGTCAGACTACATAGAATCGCGCACGGGTGGTGAAGGCGGAAGCGATGGAGGGGAGAGAAGAAAGAGTTGTGGTGATCCGGAAGAGTCCATGGGAGGTCTTTCGCAGGACTCATCCTCGGGAGGAGGAGAAGCTCGTCCCGCTGCACAAGATAACGACACCACTGCTGGCTTTGGGATTGGGAGCGGGACTGGAACGGCGGACGATCGAGCACATTCGGGTACCGATGCCGGTGGCAGCGAAGGTGGACGGACAGGTATGCCGTCCCAAGGGTCAGATGATTGGGGCGGAAGCGACGTGCTTCGGCAACCGTTGCCGCCGCCACAGTCGTCGTCAACAATTGTGTCCAGCCACAGCAACAGGCAGAAAGGCCGAAGTACAGCCCACACCGCCTGGGCAGGAGGCAAGAGGCCAACGCCTTTGTTTCTTCGCGGAGGACGGTTGTCTGTCACAGATGTCAGTGCAGCGGAGTGGTGCGAGATGCAGGTTGACTTTTCGCTGGTCAAAGGTGCACCGGAGCCGTCGCCAGTTATGGTAGCAGGATCGACGCGGCATGCAGAACTCGAAGCAGAGGTCGTGACGAAAGTCAAGGTAGAGGTTACAACTCGTGAAGACTCCTGGGCGCTCCGGATTCTTAACAGCTTGATGGGTATCAACATGATCTTTGAGAAGGGAATGACGCGGGAGTTGTATGTATTGGGCCAGGTGGATGGCGTATGGATGACGGGGATCATCGACGAGATTAGCATGGTGGATGGCACGCCTCGGCTGGTTGACACGAAGACGCGCAGGAGTCCGACGATGCCAGCTGAGGCACAGAAACGATCGACGAGGGTGCAGTTGATGTGCTACAAGATCCTCTTCGACAGCCTAGTTCGAGGAGAGTTCAACGCAGAAGCATTCTATAAACAATACCGCTTGAAGCGAGAGCGGAAGCTCGCCAGAGACGTTACAGACTTTGCTGAGGAGTGCGGGCTAGGGAGGGGAGATGAGGTAGCGACGCTCGAAGGCGTAGTCAAGGCATTTGTTACTATGTGCCAGGCACTCCCACTCACCGACGAGGAACTTCTTGTGAGGTACGAATGGCAAAAGGACAAGTCTCTGATAGGTGAGGAGCTGTTCGACTTTGACAGAAACTGGATTCAAAGTCAAGTGGCGCGGCTTCTGCAGTATTGGAAGGGAGCGCGGAAGGCGAACCCTGTTGTCAGAGAGGAGGCTTGGAAATGCAACTACTGCCCTTTTGCAAAGGTCTGTCACGTACCAGAGGAGTACGCAGCTCAACAGGCGTGGGAACAGACGTCACAACAATGAATGAAGTAAGTACAGGGCTCAGGAGGCATGTGAACAGACGTCAGGGAGCGCGGAAGGCAAAGCCTTTTGGCAGAGAGAGGCTTGAAAATGCAACTACTGCCCTTTTGCAACGGTCTGTCACGTACCAGTGGAGTACGCAGCTCAACAGGCATCAGAACAGACGTCGTCACAGCAATGAATGAAGTGTGCGGCTCAAGAGGCATGGGAATGGATGTCAGAGAGCGCGGAGGGCGAAGCCTGTTGTCAGAGAGGAGGCTTGGAAATGCTACTGCCCTTTCGCAATGGTCTGTCACGTACCAGCGGAGTACGCTGTGCAAGTTGCGTGGGAAAAGACATCACAGCGATGAATGAATGAAGTATGCAGCTCAAGAGGCATGGGAACGGACGTCAGAGAGTGCGGAGGGCGAAGCCTGTTGTCAGAGATGAGGGTCGGAACTGCAACTACTGGCCTTTTGCGAAGATCTGTCTGTCATGTACCAGAGGAGTACATGGTGCAAGAGGCATAAGAACAGACGTACAAAACAGACATCCGAGCAATGAATGAAGTACACGGCTGAAGAGGCATGGAAACAGACATCAGGGAGCGCGGAAGGCCAAGCCTGTTGTCATAGAGGAAGCTTGGAAATGAAACTGCCGCCCTTTTGCAACGATCTGCGACGTACCAGTGGAGTGCACGGCACAAGTTGCGCGGGAACGGACATCACAGCAATGAATGAAGTGCACGGCTCAAGAGGCATGGGAACAGACGTCTTGCGCCACATGAGGACAGACATCAGAGCAAGGAATGGAGTACGCGGCTCAAGAGGCATGAGAACAGACGTCTGGGTGCGCAGAAGGCGAACCCCGTTGTCAGAGAGGAGGCTTGGAAATGCAATGACTGGCCCTTCGCGAAGATCTGTCGCACGCCGGAGGAGTGCGCGGCGCAAGTTGCGCGGGAAAAGACATCACAGCAATCAATGAACAAACAAATTGATATTGAAACGTACGAGAGGGGTACAGGGCGGCACGCAGCTCAAGAGGCACGGGAACACTGCCTGGGCTCAAGAGCCGAGGCACGTGCGCAACATCGAACTTCTGGCATCACACGATTCACATCACTTTCATGACAGGACGAATCCGACCGTCAAGGACTTCTTTCTTTTCTCTATTTTTCAACGTTTTTACGTTATACGTCTTTGCTGCGCCATTTACAGCTTTACCGTGGATAAAAAAAAGGTTTCTAGGTCGTTCGGGACATCCGTTAAAATTGGAATGATACAGAGAAGGGTAGATTTGCAATATGGCCCCTGCGCAAGGATGACACAAATGAATCGAGAAATGTTCCAAATTCAAAAATATAAATAAAAAGGTTTCTAGGAGCGCAAGCACAAGAAAGAAAAGAAAATAATTTAAGAAAAGAAAATAGCTACTGCAGCTTTGGCACACTCGTTGCATGAAGTTGCGTCGCCTGTGAATGGAAAAGAGTTTCACACTACATTTGCCGTCTGTCCATCGCTCGCCTGATTGGTGACTGTTTGCCGTTTGTATGTATATGAGGGGTCAGTTTGTATATGACACTTGATAGTATCTGGCAATCTGCTATTATTCGGTTCTTGAAAGTAATTTTTTTTACATAAAGGGTCAGTTTGTTTTCTGTACCAACGAGTTTCACGGCCGCAACTTTTCTTCTTCTTCTTCTCTTTTTCGGTTTTTCCCGAGAGAGTACCAGAAAGAAAATGGAGTGGGACCCGGGCTCGGCAAAACTCGGAGGCTCGGAGCGCAGTGAAATTCAGGGTCGGCAAAAACAGGTGAGGGGGCACTGGTGGTTTAAGTGGATGATGGTTATGTGTCCAGTTGCAGCTGGGAATTCAAAACTTCTTCTTTTTTTTTTTTTTTTTTTTTTTTTTGG